CGAGAAGTAACACCAAATTCAAAATAGCTATTTCGAATTACGTGCTGTATAGACACTTAATTCAAAATAGGAAAGACATTATTGAGCTCCCCAAGGATCTGAGTCTGCACCCTCAGGCTACGTCTACACTGCAATGTTTTTGTGCAAGAAGTCTTTTGCATGAGAGTTTTTGCACAAAAACTTCTTGCTCAAGAGCACGTCCGCACCTCAAAGCGTATCGCAAAAGTGATGTGCCTTTGAGCAAGAGAGTGTCCACACTGCCTGTGCTTTTTCCCAAGGAACCCCTCTGGAGCATCCACACTTGCTTCTTTATGCAATAGGTGTAGCGCAAAAGGGAGTTATGCCTCGTAAAAGGAGGTTTACCTACATCCGCAAAACTCCTCTGTTCTGCTGTTTTACTGCTGATTTACTTGTGCAAAAGCACATTTGAGGTATGGTTGCTCCACAGGTTTTTGCACAAAAATGACCACTACCATATCCTACAGCTTGTGGACCCTCATGGCAGTGGGACAGCTCTGGATTCCGTATCCAGATAGTATCACAAGTAAAGAAGGAACAGGCTCTGTCAGGTCTCCTCTGGCAGTAGTTGGACCACTCCCCTCCTTGTGCCATCGTGGGTATGTATGTCCTTGGTGACGAGGGGTGGCAGCTGGTAGCACACCCCTTGCGTGCAAGTAAGTTCACCCTCCCACAGCCGGAACCTATCTGTGTGGTGAGGGCTTACCCCTCTAAGTAGCTCCAGACTCTACCACTCAGAAGGGCAGCCCCTTGGAACTGAGGAGGCAGCCCTCAAATAAGCTGTTGCTGGGCAGAACCTAGGAGAGGTGTCTGTCTAGTTTTCACGCCAAAATGTCAGAACAGCAGGAAAATGGCCTTGGGGGGTGGGGGGGAAGAGATGCGCAGCCAAGATGGAGTCTATGTTGTTGTTTGGACTTTTCCAAAATGGTGTACCCGTGTTGTTGATTACCAAAACTTTCCTGCTACACTGCGGGGAACCAGGTTTTAGGCAGACTCTCCCTAGGCTCCTGCCTGTCTCCCTCCAGTTTTTAAGCCAGTTCCTCATAGGCACCATTTCTCAATCTGCCCCCCTCCCTCCGTCCCATAGGTGTTGCTGTGCACTACTATAGCAGTGGTCTCGTCCGACTCCAGACAGGCTCGGCTCGTCCGACTCCAGACAGGCCTATATTTACAATGTTGATGAAATTTACTTTGCAAATTACTTTGGGATACTTCCAACTATAAAAATATGCTGCTGTATAAATTATCACTTTGTGTTCATATGGCATCCCTGCTGTCAAGGTGAGCTAATATGTATATGAAAATCCTCATGAAACACCCTGCTTGACATGACAAGGAGGGGACTGCTGGTAGAGGGCCTACCAGGTAGAGTGTCCATTACTTCAGTAGAAGTTGAGTGAGCTCGTCATACTGGGCCCTTAGTCTTTTGCACAGAAGACAGGATAAAGACAAAGGGAGATGTGAAGGGGAAAGGGAGAAAGGAAGGGAATGGTATTGAGAACTAAATGGTGTTCTTGGTGTATAGGCACTGATCAAATCAAAATCTTCATATTTTTAGCACATATTGTGCTTCAGAGAGCATCTGAACAAGCATGGGTTTTTAAAATAGAGTTCAAATTATTTATCATTATTTTTGATAGAAACAGAAAGGAGCTAGTGGTGTTATAAAAACTGTGGAACTAGTAAGTAATTAAAATGAAACAGCTGTTTGTTCAGGCTTTTCCAATTTCCCGGGAACACAGCTCATATTGCAGCATGAGTGCATACTGCTTTTCATTGGCTTGTGGCCACTATTTATGGCACAGCCAGACAGTCCTGTATCAGGGTTTGGTTCTGGTCAGAATGGTTCTTGTTACTTGAATGTAATTTAGAAATATTGAGTCTCAACTGGGATTTTTATGACATCTTGATTAAAGATCAAGACAAATATTTTGGTTTCACTACACCATTATTAAATCAGCCTGGTTTGAACATTTGATTTTTGGAGCAGACCCTTAACTCTCTAATCTACTTCTAATCTACTATTCTAATCCCAACCGTTGTGAGGAGAGAAGTCCCTTTAGCTACCTCTGACTTCAATGGAAGTTGTGGCCACTCAGAAACTGGCAGGAAGAGCTCAGCAGTTAGTGCCATCGGCCCTGGGCTGTGTCTAGACTGCATCCCTTTTCCGTAAAAGGGATGCAAATTAGACACATCGCAATTGCAAATGAAGCGGGGATTTAAATCCCCCCCGCTTCATTTGCATAAACATGGCTGTCGCTTTTTTCCGGCTCGGGGCTTTGCCGGAAAAAAGTGCCAGTCTAGATGGGGATCTTTCGGAAAATAAAGCCTTTTCCAAAAGATCCCTTATTCCTTTTTTTAAGAGGAATAAGGGATCTTTTGGAAAAGGCTTTATTTTCCGAAAGATCCCCATCTAGACTGGCACTTTTTTCCGGCAAAGCCCCGAGCCGGAAAAAAGCGACAGCCATGTTTATGCAAATGAAGCGGGGGGGATTTAAATCCCCGCTTCATTTGCAATTGCAATGTGTCTAATTTGCATCCCCTTTACGGAAAAGGGATGCAGTCTAGACACAGCCCTGGTGTGTAGTGTTACAGTTATAACTTCGATTCACACCAAAATGAGAACAGACATGTACCTGTGATCTATGACTATACAGGCAGTCCCCGGGTTACGTACAAGATAGGGACTGTAGGTTTGTTCTTAAGTTGAATCTGTATGTAAGTCGGAACTGGCGTCCAGATTCAGACACTGCTGAAACTGACCGCCAGTTCTGACTTACATACAGAATCAACTTAAGAACCCCAGGCGTCCCCAAGTCAGCTGCTGCTGAAACTGATCAGCAGCTGATTCCAGGAAGCCCGGGGCAGAGCAACTCTGCTGGCACCGGAGCAGCGAGAAAGCCCCGTTCGTAAGTGCGGATCCGACGTAAGTCGGATCCGCGTAAGTCGGGGACTGCCTGTATATGCAATAACATGTCACTTACTTTTGAGATATTTTCTGCAATCTGGTAGCTAAATATTTATTTAGTTTTAATTTATTTATTCTTCTTTGAAAACCATGTTCTTTCGAAATCAGTTCACCTTATCGATAATTTTAAGTTCTGCTAGTGATTAAATTTGTATCTAGTTAAAGGGATGGGGACCTATGGCCCAGCATGCGGCATGTCTTGATCCGGCCCACGAGGCTTGGGCTCTCTCTTCCCACAACAGAGCAAGCCAGAGCTGGCTTGTCCTGCTATGGAGTCCGGAATCCCAAGCGTAACAGGCTGGATCAATGCAAGTTACAGGCTGCATCGGGCCCACGGGCTCTGCCTAGCAGGGGAGAGGAAGTGGTTCTTCATTCTGATGTCATCCCCTACTCCCTCTGGCTGGGGAAATGGCAGCTCAGAGAAGCTCTGGTCATGTGCTCACATGCGGTTCTACCACAGGGGAATGGTCAGAGGCCATCTGGGGGACCACCAGCCATGCAACTCCTCCCCCAACACAGGGAAGGGTCAGGACCATCCGCGGGGGGGTCCCGTGCCTCTGAGGCTTTGCCTGGCAAAGCCTCAGAAGCGCGGGAACCCGCCCGGTGCCCCTGGTCTGCTGGAGACGGTCTCCAGCAGACCAGGGGCACCGGAGCAGCTTACCAACGGGGCTTTCTCGCCCCGACTTCCAGGGCGAGAAAGCCCCGTTCGTAAGTGCGGATCCGACGTAAGTCGGATCCGCGTAAGTCGGGGACTGCCTGTATAGTAATTCTTGGCAACACATCACTTTCAAATACAGTTAGTGGGTCTGAGTTCTGAGCTAATTTATCCTGTTGTAAATCTGGTATAATCTCATTGATATTGATGAGATATAGCAATGTAGGAAACATCAGATTAGGTCCAATGTGTGAAGTTCTTAAATAGTTCACAAGTCTCATTGGGTTAAACATATGATTCAAGGACTAGATCCTGGATCATTGGTCTAGCTACTTTGAATTGTTATATAGGTACTACTCAAGATTCCTTCAAAATAACTATGTCATCTCTGTGCTAACCTCTTCTTCACCCCTTCATAAAGGGAGCAAGTTGGGGTTTGAAGTACACAGCTCTTTGTCTGCTCCTCATCTGGTGCCATAGGTACCATTGCAGTTAAAATAACTTTAGAGCTGCCATAGGCTATTCTAAATTACCCCAAACTGTGTTGCTCTTGGTTGAGGAGCAGAAGGTACCTTAAAGTTATCTTTCCTCATTTCTCTCCTCAGCTGTGCCAAGCATAAGCTTATTTGAAGATTTACCACTCGGTATGAAAAGGCTTTCAGAAGTACTGATTCTTGATTTGAAATTATGATGAACATTTATCTTAGAAAGGAAAGCAAATTAAATATATGAAGAATGATTTTTTATGGAATTGATTATGTCTAATAAGTCTTCATAACCAGATTGATAACAGTGAACATGCACTGATTTGGTTTTGCTTATGTATAAAGTACTGTTATGCTTACTTGATCAGTATCAGGAGGTTTTATTGTGGAAATTAATTTCACACTTTTATATAAAACTACAGAAGTTAATAATAAATAAGGAATATTTTAGTCCTCTCTTTTACAGTATAATTTTATATTCTCCTCTCCCAACAATATTGGGAAGAAGAGGAGGAATCCATAGTGGGATATTAAGATTGTATTTTGAAATTTGTATTTCAAACTATGGACCCAATCCTGCTTTGAAATTCAGTTGTTGATGCTATGAATTAAAAAAAAAATTATGTCCTGAAAAAGCAGTTAAATCTAATTGGAGACCATAAATGCTAATTATAATATGTTATTGGATGGTGTCAATACAGGGCAGAATTAAGGTTATGTGGGTATTTGTTTCTTATCTTAACACAGTTGGATTTCTTTTAAGTATAATCTTAACTTTGAATTTCCTGTTTAGCTTTAGGATAAATAAACTTTCCTATAATGTTTTTTACACTTAAGTTACTGAAACATATTCTCAAACTTTACTTCCCCTTAGATTCTTGTCTGGGAATTCCTGTAGATCCTGATCCAGAGTCCCTTGAAGTTAAAGGAAAGAATATATTTTATTTCAATAGGCTTTTAATCAGACATGTAATGACAAAAGTATCCTGAGACTTATTTACAACTTTAGTTACAAAATTATTTTTTGTGAGAGTATGTTATTATCGAATTGTGTCTCCTTAGTATTGTTGGTGGCATTCTCTCTCAAATTGTTGCCCTGTATTTTGCGTAGGGTAACTCAGAATTGCTAATTTCTCTCTATGTTCTCTTTCTCTGGATCATCTTTCATTTGTTCATTCTTTGCTTTTATGTATAAAATCTCTGAGATAAGCATCATGCACTCCATGTAATTCATGGGCATTTTACTGCCTCTTCCAGAACATTCATGAAGATATTGAAACCTCTCAGCCGTGACCCCCTCATAGCCCCACGAGATATGTCTGAAATTGTCTCAACAAAATGTAGCCCATTTATAACTGTTTATATTCCATTAGACAGGGTACGATACATCTTGGATTAGATAATATAGCCAAATCGACTTAATCCTATTTTTTATACAGCACCAAATTGTGTCATTTAGTCATTAGCTTGAGTAAGGGTGAAGATGTTGTAGAATGATGATGACATAGGAAATTCATGATGGGGTGGTGTGAATCGCACTAAGATGTTAATGCAGATCAGCCCAAACCCGTAATGACAGTGGAGCTAGCAGCTTCCTCGGGCCCCATGGCAGTGTGGGGCGGATGGCACCTTTGCAATCCCAGAAGGGGCAGGGCTGAGGGCAACTGACCCTCAGCAGTGCCTGGAGCATGCAACATGGTGCTCCAGTAACAATTTAAAGGGCCCATGACTCTGGCCACCACTGCTGTTACTGTGGTATCAGCGGCAGCCTGATCCCCAAGCCCCTTTGAGTTGCCGAGCCATGGGACAGCTTCCCTCTTGCCCCTCCTGTTTGCAGACCTGGTAATGATAAAACCTTTTTTTTCACATTATTATACAGGTTGAAACTTTCCTCACCAGGATTCTTTAGTCTGGCAACATCATTGGTCTGGCACAGTGAGTCCCACTCCCAGTAGAGGGCCAGCACTAAGTATCCCTGCAACGTTGGGATTGGTATGCTGCCCAGCACATGGCAGCAGGGCTGCCTGGTGGGGCTGAGAGACCCAGTGCGGGGCTGCCCAGGGAGCCCTGGTGCATGATGCATAGGGCTGCTCATGGAGCCCCAGTGCAGCACAGAGCTGCCCAGAGAGCCCCGATGTGCGCAGCTGTTCAGAGCCCCGAGAGCCTCAGCGCCAGGCTGCCTGGCAGAGCCACGGCAGTGATGGCTGCTCAACTGGTGAGCAGGGCAGTGGGGACAGCAGGAGGTGGGAAGCCAGCTAGGAGGCCAGTGGCCAGGCCAGGAGGGCCAGTGGCAGGGATCCAAAAATGACCTTCCCTGGTCTGGCAAAATCCCTCATCCAGGACCAGTCAGGTCCTGAGGGTGCTGGACCAGGGAGGTCCAGCTTGTACATTGTATTCTATATTTGTCACATATGGGCCAAAAAAATAAAGAGTTAAAAGCATTGGGTCTGTAAAGCCAGGTGCTTAAGGACCTGAGCCAGCAAAGCAGTTAAACCCTTTGCTTAACCTTAAGCATGTGAATAATCCCATTAATGTCCATTGAACTCACATGCTTGAAAACCATAATGTCTTTAAGTTCTTTATTTAACTGGGGCCTTAGTTTATAAATCTAGTTGTACTGGGCTCAAAGGGAAGAATAAACACATCTAAAAATAACATAGCTTTTATATTCCCATAAATGTCGCAATCTTAAATTTGATATCCAAGATCTATTTTCCATAGACAAAATGGGACACAATCTCCATTTTCCAACACGATAAAGGTCCTATTTCTAGCTCTACTAAGTGGACGTTATAGAACCTTAAACCTGCTGTGTTCCAAAACTGAATAGTGCCCTTTATGGGCCTCAGGAAGTGTAATTTAGTTGTGGAATTTCCACATCTGAGGAAAAGAACGAAACATCACTCTGGCAGGTTGGTTAATTAAATGGCAGCTGTTTGAAATGCCCAAGAGATTGAAATGTTAGAACATACTCTTGGGAGATGAATTAGCAATAAGAGAGCAGGTGATACGTTCAAAGGTGAGTGAAAAATAAATAAAATACACTGTGAAGCCAGGTGATCACATGGCTCTGCAATTTATAGTATTGCTGGTTCTAATGATTTTTGTTATGCGTTCTTCTTTGAGACCTTCTTCATATTGATTAGAAGTAGGTGCATGAATGTGACATGTGCACAGTCACTGGAAGGTTTCCCCCTAGCATTACCTGTCTTGCCAGCTCAAGTGCCCCCTTCATAGCATTGCATATATGGCTCCACCAAACCACCACCTGTCCAGTTCCTTCTTACCACCAGTGATGGTTGTTGGAGCATTCTTGTCTTCTTTCATTTTTGAACAACCCCCAGTGTACTTGTAATCCTGCCTCTAAATAGCTGTCAGTAGTTAGTTTGTAGCATAATATAGTGTGATGGCTGAACCCCTTGTTAGTTGGAGTTCCCTTCGCCATTCCCTTCCCCTGTCTGGGACTGGGGCATGCCTTTGTCCCAGGGGTTTAAGCTGTGTGAGGTCTGCCAAAAGCTGATGTCAAAGGCTACCTAGGCATGTCCTGCTTCAAGTGCCTGGAGGAAACTGATCAGACTAATAGGTGCAAAATCTGCAGAGGATTCTGTCCCGCTTCCCCCCACCTCCCCCACATACACACTAAAAAGAGAAGAGACCCCAGGCTGAAACTGTTTCTGGTGGAAGCAGCTCTGAGGCCACAAAGTCAGGCACCATGGACCCAGCACCAGACTCTTTGGCATCAGTGTGTAGTGCACTGGCTTCAATCAGGGATGCAGCACTGTGGAAGGACTCTGGTGTGAGAGACCTCAGCACCATCACTCCCTGCACTGGAGACTTCCTCACATGTGGAAACCAGTCACCACTTGCTATCACTGGTGCTGCATGAGAAACATAGAAAATGGACAGCGGGTGCTCACCTGCTCAAATAACTGAGTGTGAGCCTGCTTATGGAATGTAACCACACTGGGCCACTCCACCTCATCTATGCAAGAAGCAGCACTATTGACTCTGGTCCCGTAGAGGGGTCCATCAAGTCTGGCTCTACTGAAGGACGGTCAAGTGGAAGACTTAGATCTTCCTTTTACACAAGAGACCCTTTCAGCAGCAAGAAAGCTCATAACCTTGCCAGGCTCACACTCTCCCAACCCACAGGAAACGTCATTGGTCCTGAAGCCTCCAGCACTGCAAAGACCACTGATGCTTTTGGATCCCATTAAAATGCTACCAATCTCAGGGGTCCTATTCAGAGGAATCCCTCTTGGTTGCGTCAGATGGACAGGCTCCACCCAGGGCCAGAAAGCTCTCCCATGGCATCAATACTGGCACAGCTACTAGCACTATGGTGGGCACCTCAACTGGTGCCATTGTTGACATGATTGTCAATACTGCAGTTGGCACTGAGACAGGTGTGGATACTGATGACTGGGTGCACATGAGGAGCCAGATAGACAGGAAGGCTCTGTACCAGCCCAAGCCTTCTCATCATCTTCATCTGATGAGGAAGTATTGGGAACATCTTTGGCGCCTGCCCCAGCTGATAGCAGAGCCCACCTGGAACTCCTTAGAAGGCTGGCACAAAATATAGGTATTCAGATGGAGAAGGCCACTGAGATGTTGGCCCTATGGTAGATGTCTTGCCCCTCACAAACATCACCAGGGTGGCACTCCTCTTTATTAAAATGATCCAGGAGACCACTAAGACCCAGTGGCGGATGCTGGCTTCTGTGATTCTCACAGCAAAAGGGGTCAAAAGAAAATACCACGTGCTTTCAGAAGGGTACTAATATCTGTTCAACCCCACCAGACTTGTTGGTGGCGGCAGCTGCCAATGAATGGGAGAGGCCAAGGCAGCAGGGGCTCACTCTTTGGATAAAGAATGCAAAGGAGCTGGATCTCATTTTGCGGAAGGTGTACTCCACTGGAGGGCTTGAGCTTAACATTGCAAACCAGCAAGTGATCCTCATTCACTATACTTTGGTTCCCACAATGTCAAATTTTAAGGAATTTGTGCAAGCAGATTTCAAGTCAGAGTTCTCATTCTTGGTTGATGAAGACAAGTGGCAAAGGCCTCATTGCAGGTCTTGCTGGACTTCATGGATTCATCAATCTGCACCATGGATTCATCATGGATTCATCAATCTGGACTTCACTTCGCTTTCCAGTGGAGCTGTAATGGGGTGACACTCACCTCCCGCGAGTGCCCCCGTTCGACCGAGTGTGGGTTCCTGCACTACATCAGTCTTTTAAAAGCCTTGCAGCTACTCAGTCACACAGCCTCATGTGAATTAACAAACCCCTTCTGGGGTATATTTCTAACAAGGGCTCATCCCAGTACCCTCTGTAGAGTGTTCCTCTGAGTCCAGTCTCTCAGTCTGTTTCTCCTCAGTAGGAGAATGTTGTCTCCCATGGCTTCTCCTTCTGGAGACAGTATCCTGAACAACTTCACATTTTGAGCTGTCCCTGGTTCTGCCAGCCAGTCTTCTTGGACTTTTCCTTTCAGGTCTGGGCTGCAACTCTGCCGCTGCTGGTCCTGCAGCTTCTTTTGTAGTCCTCCCTGACCCCTGATTGACCATTTACTTCTGTAGCCTTCTGGAAAATTTTTCTATGGCCTTAGGGCCTAGCCCTATTACAAGAGCCTTCTTGAGTTCAGGATCAGTCAGGAGTGTGAAGAGTTAATTATTAGCATTACAAAATTCTATTCTATCATTGTCCTTGTTTATGGCACTTAGGTGAAAATCTGTCTATTAAAAATAAAGGCCCAAGGTAAAAACCCAGCTATAATTTTCAGCCTCTTACAGTTAGAGTACAATATAGCCATCCTGTGATATTATATCACACAGAGTTGTTCCTCTATAGAATCCCAACATTATCAGCATAGTCTGGAATATTATTTTACACTAAAGAAAACTACATTACATAAATTCTATGGTAACTTTTTCATTTTGGAACCAAATAAAAAAGTGCAGTAAATTAAGAAAAGTTGTATATAGGCAGCACA